GACCAACTTCCTTCAATAATTCAGTAAACTTAATGATAATTTACCGTTTTCATCACAGGAAAGTATAAAATAGGTACTACAGATAAGTTCGAAAAAATTGTAAACTGATGGAACTTTACACTTTAGGGTTTTTAAAGACAAGTTAAACATCATTTCATATATTTTTTCCTTATGTAATTACCACTTTAAAAAAAAGTTAAAAAAAAAAAATCTTTCTCCAATTTTTGTTTGTCAATAGCAGGACTGTCAGATAAACAACAATAACCTGTTCACACATTTTATGAGCTCAGTAAAGTTAAGATTCTTTTTTAAACCGGATAGAGCGTGTAGATTAATATAACTAATCAGGGATCGTTTTTAATAGTTTTGAACCATCATTTGACTGGACCTGGACAAAATTTATTTGAAATAATATTTGAGAAATAAATAGTTGAATTATAATTTTACATGAATCTTATTTGGTAAATGATTACTTCACGAAATAATTTATTTCGTAATAGATAAAATAATTGTTTTTAGTATTATTATTTAATCAGTGTTTTATTTTTTAAAGTACTTGGTTAATCGAAAAATACGACGTCATTTTTGAAGATCCGATATCCAAGCTTTAGTCAGAGATTAGCACATGTCCCTTATATCTCTGCAGATATAAAAAAATAAACAGTTGTTGCATTACTTTACCTCGCGTTATGCTAAACATGCCTAAAGACTATAAACGTGGCCATTGTACCGTCCGCAAGGACCCATACAGTTTGCTCCAGCCGCTGGAGCCTGAGGTAGCCAAGTTGCAAGTTGGGGAGCAGGGACAGAATAAGATGTGCCCGTAATTAGGCTAAGACGCAGCTGGGCAGTTAAACTTGACTTAAACTGCAATAAAGGGGTGGCCGCTGGCGACAGTTGCCCGCTATCATAGCCCGATCTCCGGCATCTTATAGGCATTAGCCACTCCGCTGTCTTAAATCTTGGGCGCGCCTTGCATCCCGATCTCTCGCTTAGCCGGGGTCACTCGATGGCACTTTGATACCTCTCCGGCACCCCAGAGGGTGGCGATTCGATAAAGATGGATACAAGGTACCAGAGGCTAGAAGATCCATAGAGGTTGGGTAATTATTGAAAACAGGTCTATATTTGATTATCTGCGATGATACTTTTATAGTTAGACTTCTCTCCTTAGTTTTAGCCATGTCAGAAGTTAAAATATTCTTAACACATGATGAGTTATTTTGTCCAACACTGAGTTGTAAAAGTTGACTTTGGCATTGTGTGCTAAAGAAGAAACAGTATGATGAGATGTCACAATACTTATCGTTAATGTTGCACTTTGCAAGACCAAGACCAATATCGCTTAACTGTTGCTAGACCAAGACTGGTAAAATAAATCGATTTTTTGAGTAAAAATTAAGGAAAAATAGTAGCTAATACTTGACAATTTTAGTTACTATATGTAAAGAATTGGTTTAACCCATATACTTTTGCATTTAAATCTACTGATTTTTCATTCGGGCATAGTTAGGTTTTTCGATCTAAAAAACTACAGTAATATCTCTATAGTAATAAGCTAATATGTAACAGCAAGACTGTTTCGAGACTCTTGGGCAAGACGAAGACTTGTCTTGGTCTCGACTTTGAGAAACACTACTTATCGTCCTGTTGGCTGCTAATTTATTTGAAAAACTTAAATTAATTAAATATTTATTTACAGCTTAGTTATCGAGGTTACAAAAATCCTTATTTTATTTATTTTAAGAATAACACGAATAATGGCTATTTTAATGCTCGAATAAATGCATCATTACTTATTAGGAGTCCTTGGTGACTTCTTAAATAGATAAATTTCTAAATGAACCTACCGATGCTTATATGCTACTGCTTTTAATGATTTTTTCAACATGGATTGAACAGCATAGCCATCAATGAATGAGTTATTTGAGCAGGATTACTTATAAATAAACGGAAAATTCTTTAGCTCATAGTTCTTCCATTATATAGTTTTAAAAGTTGATTTTAGTATCGTGTACTTACGATGAATTAAGGTGAGAATATTTCGCAATATGAAAATTTATGAAAGTTAATCATCGGTAGACTTTCTAAATAACTTGAAAACTGATCCACCAAATTTTAAATTTTTACCGGCCATTTTCTAAGGATGAAAAATCCTGATTAAAATTACCCTAAATATCTCGGCCTATCTGTTTATTACTGAGATTAAATACATCGTTTTTTTTTTCGTTATTAGGAATCATTGGTTATTTGGACTAATTTTTTGAAGGAACATGCTTATCTTCGTATTCTATTATTTTTCATGTTTTAGTAAACATGAATTAAACAGCATAATTAACATATGTTACGTAGCAACCCAATGTATTTGGACAGTTATTGCTTATAAATACAGCATTTCTTTACAACCTTATGGTCAATTTTACTGAAATTCTTAAAACAGTCAGTGCTTCATTCTATGTTAGGCATCTTTACCTCTTTACACTCCTAATGTTAGATGTTTGATCGCCTATAAACTTTAGCTTAAATTCCAGTCTCTTTATGGATGACTTTGCTTGTTGGGCTATGAAAATAATTTTTTATTTGATCATTATTGATTATCATTTATCATTGATCGGCAGTTCGGAGATATTAATTGTTGTTTAAATATCTTTTAAAAAATATTTATAATGATAATGTACCTAAAAAAACTTTGTTGTACCATCTTCGAGCTTGAAAAGATGGATGAAACGGAAACTTGGCCTTTTGGTTTACCCTTTGGGTATGCCCACCCTCCGACCCTCCCTCCCGAAACATTACAACGCAGGAACTGCTCAACCTAAAAAGTTCATTAGCCCGAAAGTGCTTTATTACTTAAAGGTAAGCCAGCCGTTACCTTTGAGGCCGAGGAAGAAGACAGAAAGAGGATGGATAATTAGGCCTGTTTGGCGGCTGGTTCATTACCGAACATCCTCGAGAAGAAACTACTTGCTCTCTAATTAAAGCGGTGTGGACTTAAGCCGTTTTACCCGAAACGGAGCCCCGGGGTCGCTGATGAGGGTTGTCTTTGCCCCAACTTTCGTCCCTGTCAGCCGTGCAAAGTTTATTTCTTACGAGCGCTTTTCCCCTTTCCCTAAGGGATTAATACAAGGATGCTAAGAGTGTGGGTTATAAGGTACTATATTCAAGCATACTTCTTGGACTGAAAAATCCATGTTTTGTATTCCCAAGCAAACAGAAACTAGATATAATCTTTTGTCCCTGTCAGTTGTATAAGACATTAGACCCTAAAGAACGTCCTGGAGAAGAATATATAACGACCCGGACTCATTTTATTTTGAATATTCGTTATTCAACATCTTTCTACAATTTCTTCGTTGAAGACCAAAAGCTTGATTTTTTTCTCTCGCGATTTGCCTTTCTGGCTACATGAAGTTTTTCCCGAGCCAAGAGAGAGAGGGATTAATGCCAGAGTTGGAAGAAAACAGTTAGAAGTCCTCGCGGCACCGAGACTCGAACTCGTAATCTTTAGTTCATCAGGTTGCCGGACAACACGTTATTAGCACACGCGTTAGTCCGATCGGCCAGTCCCCCAGCCAAGACCAACCAATACAAACTCTGACTGAAAGTTTTCAAAATATGCCTGATTTTAACTTACGTTTATGAGATTGCTGTTTTAACGTTTCATTATCACATGTTCCCTTTTTGCAGAGAACGCTTTATTTAGACTCCAGTTTGACATCAATAATATCCCTACTTTAATGGAAAAAAATGTCAGGCTTATTAAATTCAAATTTTCATAGTTTTAGAAAAAAAAAAAAAAAAAAACTAACGCATAGTTTAAAGTGACGAACTTTCGAACAAATTTACGTTGTTTCAGGATTTCTGTTTTTAATTTTGTAAATACAATAATTTCAGTCATATTTTGATTTTATGAAGAATTTCATAAAATTCAGATAATGCCGTATATTTGTAAAAATACGAAACTCTTCCTTTCAACCTTTTTTTAGTAAGCATTTCTGTAAAAAACAATTGAAATGTGGATATAAATATTACAAAATTAAAATAAAATCGATATTTTTTTTAATTAAATTTCGAATATTCTTTATTGAGATATACTACAATCTGTCACATATAAGGACAATAGTAATAATGATGAAAGATTAACTCATTTAAACTATGTGCAATAAATAAAAAATAAAGAAACAGCAAAATAATTGCATATTAAATAATTTTTATTTATGTTTCCATATATTTGATTTTGTCGTAGTGTTAATATGAACTGTTAATATGAAGTTATAAAAAATCTGAAGTACAAGATTTTCAACATATTATATTTTTTATAACACGACAATACAGATACAATTTAAGAAACTAACTTTTTTTTTTTAAATTAGTGCTATTATTTTATTAATATTATTATATTATGGGAAGATTTTAAAACAAATTTAAGTATATAGCATTCCATCAGGATATTTTATAAATTCAATCTATCTTGAAATGATGTACTATCGATGTGGTTAGTCTTTTCATCTATCGATAAGAGATGCGTGATCTGTGATTTAATTTAGTGTGACTTTATTATGGTTTCGTTAATCAATAATTAATAAGTTAAATATTTGTTTTGAAGTTTACAATTTTTTTTTTTTTACCATCTTATTTATTTATTTCAAGGCAAGAGAGAAGGCCTCTGGGAACCATGGATTTTGGTATAACTATCGCGGTACTTCTACCATCTGTTCTCTGATTGTTCTTTCGTCTCATTCATTAGATGAAGTTAAAATGATCAACTCCCTCTAATTCCTTCCACCCATACCTGAAAGCTTCGTAGTATGGATGGTTATCCTTGTTTACTAAATGAGGGTAATCGCTTTCCATGATGACGTAGAGTCCGGTTTCCCTCAGTAGTTTGGCCCTCATTGTCTCAAAAAAGCAGCCAAATTAGTTTTTACTGTCATTATTCATACTATATTATTCAATAATATATAATAATGAAATTTCTTTTTCTTTTTTTTTTTCCTCAGAGGGGAGTAAATGCCCCGCCCCAGGCTGCAACGGTGAAGGTCACGTCACAGGGCTTTACTCACACCATAGGAGGTGAGCGCTTGTTAACTTACAAAATATTTTAATATTAATCAAAAATATAACTAATACTTCAATTTGGAAATATGATCAAAATTAAATTATTTTTTCTAAAATTTATAAAAATTTTTAATAGCCTTTCCGGATGTCCTAGGAAGGATAAAGTAACACCTGAGAGTAAGTATTTACTAAACAGATTGATCTTTGATATTTTATATTATATGTTATTATTATATGTGGTGTTTATAAAAGGGGTATTAATATTATATGACTTTATTCTTATTATGTTTCATTTATTGATTTTAATATATTTTTGTAATGTGCATTAAAATATAAAGTAATTTTAAAAATTTGAAACATATAGGAACAAAGTCCATTTTTTCTATCTTTTAACTGTTCCTACTCGTCTTGGATATTTCAACTTGACAGTTTCAATTGTATTAAATTCATAATTTTTATTTTGTGTAAAATATTAAGAACTGATCACTCCATTACTATTTTACATCGATAATTCTGTAAGCAGATTTTTATTATAACATAATATGTAATAGGTATTGATAAATTATCGTATCATCCTCATAAATCAATAAGAACAGAAATGATTAAATTAATTCCCACAAAACTAATTTTTCAATCCACCAATCCAGACTGTAATAAATAATGTGTTTTATAGCACTCTCTTAGTATTCTAGTTATTAGAAGAAATTTAAATTTATTTATTTTCTAAACTTAATTGTAAATTTCAGTTAATGTAAAAAACTTATAATAATCTTTGTTAGTTTACTTGGCACAAGGCTGTTTTGTAACTTCATAGCTTTTCTAGTTGAGAATTCTTTCAGACTTTTGTGTTAAATCCCCCCTACTTCGAAAGAGATAAATAATTTTTTTTTATAGGTCAATATTTGTTTCTGAGATTAATCTGTGCTGTTTGATACTTAAACCATGGAAAATATGTTATATTTTAATATAATGCCTCCACTTCTCCTAAATGTAAGCACGTGTCATGAAATCAAAACTTAGAATTCATCCCTCAAATCATTACTTATTTATTTTTTAACAGGCCTTCAAAGGCCACTAAACATCATTTCATGTAGTTCATTTTTTCCCAAAGTAATTACCGTTATTTAAAAAAAAGTAATCCTGAATTTGCTACTAATTATGGTAAATTTTTCTGGACATATGGTTCAAAGTTTTCAAGATTTTTAGAAATCCAAACTTCTCAATATTATATTACGTCTATTTTAAGTGATTTTCTTTTAATAGCCTTAGAATGCTTATTGCAATATTTAGCTTTTCCTTAAAAAAGTACCTTTTTTTCCTTATATTTCTAATATTTTTAATAATTATTTTCCCTTTAAAATTACTGTCGGAGAAGTAAGTCTTTACAATTTAAGAAAAAAAATAATGCTACAATTCTAATTCAATTTTTTGTCTTTACTTTACAGGTTTATAATTTATTTCCAATAATCAATAATTTTAGACTAGTTTATATGTTAAAAATAATTAATTGCAGTTGTAGTTTAAAAAAAAAAAATCTTTGCAATTTGGAACATGGTCCCTCTTTTAAGATAGTAAATGTTAAGGATCAATTATAATCAAAGAACATACTAAAAGAAAAAATAATAAAATAAAAATGTACGGACTGAATTTGAAAATCTTCTGGCAATCTTTAAAATTGCATCTTATTTTAACCATAATAAAAATTAAACTTGTTATTTTAAACATCAAGAAATTTTCTTGTCATATTTCAATAGAATCGACATTTAAAAAAAAATTAAAGTTTTTTTCATTTACTACCAGCCTGCTATGAACAGAACATAAATACAAAAATGATAGGAATATATGAGTCGTTTACTTCCAAAGTAAACCCCGATCATTGTTATCGGATTTTCAGTAAACACGAATAATTAATGAAATTTATATTCCAATTGTAATATAAAATTCAATATTTAAAAATTATAGATTAAGAAATTCTTTTTTTGTAGTACCTATCTCCGTAAATCGATAATTATTTAATACGGTAATTAAAAAAATATTGGTACTTAATTATGACCGTTCTTGGAAATAATTGAACTTCAAGGTCCGTTTTTGAATAAAAAAAAAGATTGATTGGAGTCCGCCTGGTATAGAAAAAATGGTGTGTGATTCAGAAGGGAGAGTAATAAAAATTGTACTTTACAAAATTAATTTTTTGTTACAATAGTGGTACCACAAAGTGAATTATTTTTAATTGAATAAATCGGCCAAAAAAGCTTTTGATGTATTATTCTTTTAAGAATAAATAAGAAATTCAAATTTCGTGATATTTCTCGAAAAAAAGGACTACTTCGGTAATAAAATTATTTTCAGAAGAATGCTTTAATAAATAACGGTCGTATTTGGGGGAAAAAAAACTGCAGATTCACAGGGTATTTTTATCTAGGAATCAATACTTATCTTGATTTATAAAAAAAAAATCGATTAGGGGTATTATTCTTTTAAGAATAAACAAGACATGCAAATTTCATAACATTTCTCGAAAAAAAGGCCTGTTTCGGAAATAAAATTATTTTCACAAGAATGTTTTAATAAATAAGAGTCGTATTTGAAAAAAAAAACTTCGGATTTACTGAGTATTTTTATCTAGGAATCAATACTTATCTTGATTTATAAAAAAAATCGATTAGGGGTATTATTCTTTTAAGAATAAACACGAAATGCAAATTTCATAACATTTCTCGAAAAAAAGGACTATTTTAAAAATAAAATTATTTCCACAAGAATGTTTTAATAAATAAGAGTCGTATTTGAAAAAAAAAAACTTCGGATTTACTGGGTATTTTTATCTAGGAATCGATACTTATCTCGATTTATAAAAAAACTGGATTAGGGTCCACTTTGGAAATAAGCGGCTCATCATTATAGCCTAAAACATTCAATTCCAACGGTTAGTATTCGAAAATAAGAAATTTTCGAAAATTTCGATTAGCGTTGAGTATAATTTCGGTGATATTTTTTGAAACTGTTTGGTTGAAATTTGGGGACGATGGGGACTGGAGGCTCCCCCGGGTGGGCAGAGCTGGGACCTGGGGGAGCCGCGAATGCTGGACTTGCTCTCACGCGGTGTCTCCTCTGTCCCAGTTCTGGCCATGCACGAGACCATTCTCAAGTGCCCCACCCCGGGCTGCAATGGGCGGGGCCACGTCTCGTCCAATAGAAACACCCACAGGAGCCTCTCCGGCTGCCCATTGGCCGCCGCGCAAAAGCAGGCCGCCAGGGAGGCCCGACACAAGCACCACCAGGCCAATAGTAATGAGAATAGTTAATGTTTATAGTGTGAGAGTGTGTGTATGTAGTGTGTGTGTAGGAGGGGCACCAGGTGTCTGTGAGATGAGATGGTACTTTGTGTATGTCAGGGGGGTGGGTCCCCATTTCAAGGGTTGTATATGAAGGTAGAGTTCAAAAGAAAACCAAAACTAGTTATAAAATCTATGTTGACCATTAACTTCATTACATTTGCCCCCATCTATGAAGAACTTACTAAAAATAAATTGTTGGTAAAAAAAATAGTTACATATTAATTACAACAAACAATAGAAGTGTAACCATATAAATCCTTGGTCATATTACATGGGCTGATAATACACTAAATCTACTTAATAGTAAGTGAATTTTACTTATTACAATTTTTAAAGGAGCTTTTTATTTTATTTTCATATTAATACAATCCATAAAAGAGCATAATATTAAATGTTTATAGTAATATATTAAATTCGTTATAGCAAAAATTTGATGTATTAAAATTTAGTTATAATATTATAATTGTATAATATTACTATTATATAATCATAATATTAATAGATAAAAATAAACCATGGAGTGGTGAGAAAAAAAAATTACTATAATATATATTTTTTTAAATAATCATTATCCTCTAACAGTTTATCCTAAATAATTTACCTAATGGTAATAATAATTTTTACTTCTATATATATTGCTATATTTAAAAAAAAAATAAAAAAACAGCCTTTTAAATATTTCCCACCTTCAGTTATGTAAATATTTAATTATAGGTTTTTTTTTTTTATTTAAACAACTACAAGCGAAATTTAAAATTTAAAAAGAGACTTTTTTTAAAATAACGATCTTCAAATTATTGTAAAATTTTATAAAATATATATTTTATAAAAATATTCATTTTTTAATAAAAAACAAAAAAATCATCGCTCTGACGGTTTTTAAAATTAAAATAAAAACACATTTAATTTTGTTTTCAAGTAATTGAAAAGCTCAGATAAAATTTACATATTCTTTAGGGTCCTTGCTTACCCGGCCAACATTGCAAACTGATTGTATGTTAGTGATTAATCCTAATATGAAATTAAGGAATATTTAAAAATTTCTTAAACTTATTAATTTATGTATTTATTTATTATTTATACATTTATCATAAGCTGAGACAGGTAGTTTTTGAGTTGGGTTAATGCTCCTCTTCAGATTATACGATTCTGTTTCAATCATTTAATCACCATTGGTATCATCTCTAGATCTGGTTATGAATGTTGTGTGAATGAAGGTTTTCTTTTAATATTATTATTGGTTTGAACGTGCTTTACAACGAATGGAAATATTGAAAAATCCAGTATTAAGATTAAAAAAATAATAAAATAAAAGTATTTACACAGGCTATATTTCAATATATTATACAACTACACCAGATCTAAGTTTTGGAGAAATGTACGTATATTTTTATATGCAGAAAAATTAGTGGGTGATAGATGGTCAGGACTCAGTCAGTTATTAAAATTTTTATTGCAAATGTTCAACCCTAGCTTGTGGTTCATCACCAGGTCATGTTACCAGCACTGAACGAGTTCAAGAGACATGTCTTGATGATGAACTAAAAGCTTAGGTTGGAGCGTTTTCAATAAAAATCTTAAAAACTAACTGCGTTCTGACTTTCTATCGCCCATGATATGTAGAACAATCGGATTACTTCCATCTAGAAAAAATAGTGGTTTCATTGCTACCATACTTGGCAAAATATAATATAACTCTTCCTATTGTAGTTTTGTAATATATCTAAATACATCAACCATTACTGGTTTTAAAAAAATTATTTTTCTATATATATATTTTACATTCGTTGCAGAGCACGTTTTAATTTTTTTTAAACTCAACCACTGTATTTTTAGCTGAAATAAAAATACATTTTTTTCTATTTTTTATATGTGCGATAAAGGATGAGATCTGGGCATTTTATTTATAGTATATTCTCTGTAAAGAAAACAGGAAAACTTCTTTTAATCCAAAGAAATTATTTTCAATAGAATCCTGTTTTAATGATTATTGTAAAATGTACTTTATTCCTTTTGAATCGATTTTTATTTTTCATTTTATGAAATCGCTCTTTGATAGTTGGGTTTAAACATTTTTAAAAATGTGATAAAGCATAGATTTTTGCTATTTAAAAAATGAATTAGGCAGTTATTGTTATTATTTCTCAATCCAAATTAATATAATATAATTGATCATTATTGTTGTTTATTAATTATTCATTATAGTCTCCACAATGCCGATGTTTGAGATATATTCTTTTAATCGAGCAGTACTACACCATTTATGAAATTTTCAAGGATTCTATAAAATGCCGGATCAGAATATTTGCCTGCACATAAATATTTTTTTTAGGTGTTTATTATATTTACTCTTGTTTCTTGAGTGTATTTTCCTTATTTTAAAAATTGTCTTCAATACAGACGGCTTACCTTCCGTCGGTGTGACTGCCAACGAGTGCAACCTTGGTTTCACGAAACCCCCAGTTTCTGCAGCCGACCTGAAGCAGTGTTACTACCCCGAGAGAGATTACAGCGCCTTCTACGCCAAACCTACCCTCAAGCCCACCAAGATCATACACCAAGAGGAACCCGGGGAGAAAGGAAAGCTGAAGCCTGATTCGCCTCAGAGGTAAACTTATATGCTTATATGTATACATATGCATATATGTATTCAATTGAAGGATTTGGCTTCAAAATGTTTTTTGCCAGTAATAGGTCATGGTACAGACCCCTTATCATCAATTTATCAACATCCTCCTAAAACTTTGTGAATAGCTTCATTTCATCCTGACCAAAAAAAATTTACTCGCGAAAATTCTCGGACTTGGACGTTTTCAATCTGGAGATCGGCAAACTTCTTCTATTTAATTAGGTACTAAAAACTCTTAAAAAAGCCATTTTATTTTCTTCATTGAAGGTGATCAGATGGGTAATTAAAATTAGAGCTGATGTTTTGAACTTAAATTATAAACACTTCAAGCAAACAAATAATAATTGTAGTATGTGTAATACAAACGAAACAGAAGATCTCTATCACTTCCTGGTTGCTTGTCCGATACTCTCTGAATTTAGAATTAAATGATTAAAATCTAGAGATTTATTTCGGGATCAAGTAATAGATGCTACGTTTCGGCCGGTAAGCCATCTTCAAGTAATATTATCCAACCATGTAGCCCAAAGTCAGATTAAATTATAAGTGTGGTTGGGAGGTTGCACATTTTTATATCTTTGTTTAAACTTCTCACTTATTAATGGTCATTGTTAAAACATTTGAATAATTCATGCACATATGGATGTATCTCTATTATTTCAGTTTATTTTATTTTTTAAATATTTCATGCGTTGATTAATCAATTAAGGTAAATAAACTAAAATTAATTATTTTAACTAAAAAATACCATCATGGGTCCATTATTAAGCGAAGGGTTATCCCCGCTGTTCCGATGCTTGAATAGTTTATAATAATTGTATATAAGAGGAAGCTATTGGCTGGTTTTCAATTAGATAGAATTAACTGACGGCAAAGTTTGAACAACTTGGGGGCCGGGAATTATTGATGCGGCCTCTTCAACGAGAACACCGATCAAGAAACTTACTCAACATATCGCCATGGAGCGGCGGTTGAAAATTTTATGATATCGCTGGCATAATCCATAAAGGCGGTCGGTATTGGATTCCTTCCACCTAATATAGGCTTTTGTATTATATTTTTGTTTACATGATAATTATCTAAACCATAGGTGTAATGATTATATTAGATTATTTTTGTATCCTTGCTAATATTGTCAGCTATATCTTATTTATCTTCGACAGGTACGACACATACCTCAGCCACGACTCAAACTCTTCATCGGTATCCAGTATGGAGATGCACCATATGGGACCTCACCTTCCAGTACCACCTCCTCCTGTCCCACCACACATACCTCCACCGCACTACCCCACGCCCATCATTGAGGAACGCCGCTACGAAGAGGAAATGTACAGGTAGCCATCTAGTGTATAATTTCTGTAGAATACTAAAAGAAATCTAAAAATATTATTTTTAATTTAATTGATTGTAAAGTAAAGGTCATCAATAAAATACGTTTTTATTATATTTTTTATTGATAGGTAATTGTATTAATGTGAACCAAATTAATCTAAATTTATTATAATATATGTTGAATTACAAGATATTAATGATATAGGATTAGGACAATGTTTGGCAGGAATTAAAAAATTTAAATATTTTAAGGGTATATGACTAATTATTAATTTTTTTTATTGATCCTTGACAATGTATTAAGAAGCCGAAAAGAAATATAATAAAATTATTGGTATAATTTTATTGGTGATCTTTGGCTTGCAATCAATTAATAAAAAAATTATAAAATTGGCAACTAACCAAAAAAATATGAATAATAAATCTAAAAATATTGAAGAAACGAAAAATGACTGCGTGTCTTTATTTTTTATGTACTGTGTATTTTTTAAGGCAAAAATTTAATGTTTAAATTAACTCTTTTGTTTGTATTCTCACTAGGTCAATGGTTGCGTTAATACACCTACTATATCTAAAATATAATAAATTACATAAACTATAAAATAGATATAGTCTGCATATGATCTAAAGTCGTTATGATGACTGTTTGGTAAAATGTTTAGCTGTTTGAGATGGTAATGCCTTTTTTTGAAAAAATTCCTCTTAATAATCTAATAATATCTTTTGTTCTATTGATTTAGCTTATCTATTCAAATTTTCATTGTTCTAAGACACCAGTACTCCTGCCAACAGGTACACCGCCAGCGCCACAACGACATACCCAGGATACGAGGGCCGAGGGTACGAACCCGGCTACGATAGGTACCCATCCGAGTGCGGGGCGAGACCGTACGCTGAGTACAGCCATGAATACGACATGGGGGTCATGATGAAGCAGGAACAACCTCAAGAACCTGAACACAACGAGCAGCCAATATATCCAAGGTAGAAATATCCATAACAACAACCATATTTATTTCAATTAAACTAGTATTAAACTGAAGAAACATTCGATATGTTTTCATTCTATTATGTTTAATTACATATCACATAACCCTGTAGAACAAGTCTGCTAAAGTACGAGTAAGATTCGGTTAGTGTTGCCCAAATGCGAGACCAAGACTAGTCTTGGTCTTGCGCACTCAGTCTTGGTCTTGCCTAAGAGCCTAGTTACAGTCTTGCAGTTACCTATTACTTATTACTGTGGAGATATAACTATAATATTTTAGATAGGAGATACCTAACAAAGCCCGTATAAAAAATTAGAAGAGTTAAATGCAAAAGTATACTGGTTATACCGATTCTTTACATATAGTGACTAAAATTGTCAAGTATTAGTATCTATTTAACTTCATTTTTATTTAAAAAATCGATTTTATTTTTACCATTATAGGTTTTGGTCTTGAAACAGTTATGCGCTCTCGGTCTTGGCCTTGCAAAGTGCAAGACCGAGACCAATTTTGGGCAACACTAGGAGTTCGGTGTAGCTTAAGTCATTGTTAGTTTGTTATGCGGCATAGTATACCGGATACGCCTGCCAAGTGTAACATTCAATCAAATCATGTGACAAAAATTTTTTTATCGAAACCCTTGATAATTTAGAATTAAAATAAACCTTATTCAGGCAGGATGTTCTCCGAGGATATATGGACAGAAAAAAAAAACCATCAGGTCAAAGAAGATTTTAAAGCAAATCAAAATGAAATATATATTGATTGTAAAAAAAAAAAAAAAATAATAATCAATAAATATAACGATCCATAGCAAAATAGAAATTATTATGAAAAAAGAAAATTAGGAGGAGTTGGTTGGTGGGGGTATTGTGAAAGATGAAAATATACACTAATAAAAAATTATTTTTTGTATGCCGAAGATTCAATCTATGTTTAAGGGCTAAGTAAAAAACGTCATAATAACAAGTAAGAAAAATAGTAAAACAATATTACGTTAACAACCAACAAGAAAAATGATAAAACAATACTGTAAATACCGAAGCATAAATAAATCATTCGATTAAACGGACGAACTTTTCTGTAATTCAATTTTGTTTGTTTGTTTTGTTTTATTTCTTTGTTTTTATTTATTTATTTATTTTATTTGTCAATAGCTGATATAAATTGATATCCTCTGTTTGCGACCACAACCGTTTTACATCGGAAAATTAATGGAATGTGTTCGAACAAGGTAAATACTGATCTTTTTTTTCTCTATTTTTTATTTGTTATTTACTTACTTATTTTATTTTTATTTTTGTATAATCTGTTTTCTTTATTTTTTTTTATTATTTTACATCATATTTTTTATTTTATTTTAGAAACGGCTGATCAAATTTGAAGAAAAAAAAACTATTAGTTTATACATTTAAGTAAGGAGAGATAAATATTTATGATAGTGAAAATCCAATTCATACTGAATTAATCAAATTTAATATTTTATAATACTTTTACATAGCATAAATAAAATACATTCAAAGTCTGAATGTCCAAAATATTAAAACTAAAAAAATAAATAACATGCTCAAGGAGCTGTCAACAAAAATCTATCATAATTAACCAATAAGGAAATTGTTCTTATTTAATGAAATATACATATATATATTTTTTTTTCATTATTATTTTTGTTACAAGGAATAACACAAATACAAATCATCGTGGATTCTGGCTCATCGCGCAATTTAACTAATTCCTGCAATATGAACTAAAACTTAAATATTTTAACTAATCACGGAATAAGATTAGTAAAAAAAACAACACATTTTCATTGAAAAACTCATCAAACTGTGTAAAATATTTTCCTTGTGCTATATTAACTATAATAACCAAGCAAACGCACATGAATTAGTTGAGCTTGTCAAAACATTAAATTAATTAGTTATAATAATGTTCCTCAACCTTATTTCCTTGTGAAATCAATTTATCTGCAGGATTTTATTAAATATATTTTTAGCCATTTAATAATAGATGTTATAGTATGGCGTACAGACATTTTTTTTATCAAATTATTAAGATCCGCCTAAAACATTTATATAGCTTCATCACTTGTCATCAGAAAAAAAAAAAAGACTACTACCACACTACAATCCATGAAGGGTCTTGGGTTCAGTACTATTTAGAAAAATACAGTTTCAAGGCCAACGGTTGTGCAAAGAGGAGATCGGGCCAGGATCACGCTCAATCTCCAGGTTTTCCCCCTTAATTAATCTTAAGGGTATCCATTTTGTAGAGGCAGGTTGTGCCTCAGGAAGGCCTCCCTACTCCATGGTCGCCCCACGGTGGATGAAACAGAATAAGTAATTTTTCTGCAATGAGTCGGGATGCGGACCTGGAACCTTGAGCATTGGAAGTTCAATTACCTACCACTGAGCTACCCCACTCCGATAGTTGTTCATATATGTTTCGTTCATAATTTCATTACAAAATCGGAAAAAAATCGTCTACAAAAATATTGGTCGGTTTGGTCTATATAACCTTGTTGTTATTTTGATAAGTGGTGTGTCCTATATTGTGTGGTGTGTCCCAATATTTTTAAAGTCCACCTTTTTACTCGATTTTGTAATCAAATTATCTTACGGTTCAAGTTGAAAGCAAATGGCTAGTGTTGCCCAAATGCGAGACCGAGACGAGTCTTGGTCTTGCAAACTCAGTCTTGTCCTTGCTCAAGACTCTCGTAACAGTCTTGCAGTTACCTATTAGCTTATTAATAGAGAAATATTACTGTATTTTTTTTTTTTATATATGAGAAACCTAACTAAGTCTGATTGAAAAATTAGAAGACTTAAATGCAAAAGTATATTGGTTACACCAATTCTTTACATATAGTAACTAAAATTTTCAAGTATTAGTAACTATTTTGCCTCAATTTTTATTCAAAAAATCGATTTTTTTTACCAGTCTTGGTCTTGGTCTTGCAACAGATAGGCGTTGTTGGTCTTGGTCTTGCAATGTGCAAGACCAAGACCGATTTTGGGCAACACTACTAATGGCTACTCATGAGTTTTTAGTACCTAATAAAATAGACAAAGATTGGCGATCTCCAAAACGAAAACCCCTCAATTCCGAAAATTTTCGTAAATGAAAAAGTTGAAGGTTACGATAAGATGTAGCTATTCACGAAGTTTTAGGTGGATGTTAATAATTTGATAAAAGGGGTATGGACCACGGGCTATTACCATTATTGTAATTACACTATAATATATCACTCTGAGCGCGACACGATTTTTTTTTATCCACGATTTATGATTTTTGGTCGCAAGAATATAATTAAAAGTCCCCACTTCCGTTTCAAACTTACTGTTTTGCGACTCATTTAGGAGGGTACTAAGTTGAGACTGTTGTACAGGCCGATGTACCAGTACGAAGGCGGCACGGCAGCGGCCGGGTTCAGCCCCGCCCCGGGCTCGGCCATCAACCTCTCGGTCAAGTGCCTGCCGGCCGGCCTCAAGCCCGTCGAGCCCAGGTCCCCGGCCTCCGTGATGGACCTCTCCACCTCCAGCGTCACCTCCACCTCGCCTCAGGTAGGCCTCATTGTCTATACTTCATTACTTTTCATTATATATTATAAGTATTAGATCATGATATGCTGGTTGTTCGATGCAACAGGGCGGAGCCTACACCGGCAACAGTCTCAGCCCAGCTGCCTACAACAGGGGTAGCCCCCAGGCCGCAGCGAGCCCGCACCTCACCCCCACCAGTCCTCAGGGCCAGACCCTAGACCTTAGCGTTAACAGGTAAAGGATATATATACAAACATTCAATTATGATTTAATGCATACTGTTAAGGGCGCTCACAATAGGCACTATAGGCAATTATGATGCCGTCAAACAGCACACAACAGTAGGGCCATCTATTAACGAAGAGGAACAACTAGGGTCCCACCTGGGAAGACCTATCACGTGGAGGCTCAAAGTACAGTACAACCTATGCCAATCTGAGTCTTCCTACAAAATGGTCTCCATGACCCAGCATTTCCAGGAATATGTGTAGTTAGACTCGAAGCTCAAGAAGTGGTTGAGGAAGAGAAAGCAGATAGGTCAGCACACCAGCCCATAACACTGGCAGAAGCCAGCCCCTCGAATGGCAAATTGGGACGTCTATCTCATCAATTCAACAAGCAACCAACTGGTCAGCCCGTCAATTACAATAAATTCTAAAGAACTAATATACTAAGCTTGATGTGAATGATTTGGCAGCCCCCTTTAGCAGGATATGACGTTTCATTTTATTTTGTAATATATTTTAAGTGGACCCTAATTTGATTCAATCACTTCACCCATGAACACCCTTTTTCTAATCAATCTATTTCAGCATCCAAGTTTTATTCCCTCTGCTTAAGGAATGGGGAAATCCTGATGCACAAAACATATATTTTATAATTATTCAGAATACACCTTTCCTCTATCCATGCAACGCTCCATGCGGGTCCTCTATCGTTTGAAACAATGATGGACACCATCTTCTAGCAGATCCTTCAGTACGCGTTCTTCATTCTCTTCCAAAGATTCTTTTTAGTTCCTTTTAAACCCTCATTGACGAATCGTAGTTTTTATTTGCTATTTAATCCTGAAAAGGAGCGCCAATCCATGTATCGAAAGAGCCCAACTTCACTGAGGGCAAAAAAGTTAGGAGGATAAGCGAATCAATATTTAAAGCAATGTTAATCAAAGCAAAAAATAATAATTGCGTTGTGCACATTCACTGGTTCCTTGAAAGTCACACTATTAATCAACATTGCTATATACACGTTCTTGCTTAATTAGAAAGCGGCGCGCGTCCTATATGAGTTGACAGAAGAAGACTATTGCACTCTCGAGCACTATTGCAGGCAACGGAGGATTCACTTGAAGCAATGTGAGATGAAATTCTAAGGAATACTAATTGATATAGGAGGGGTATAAAATAAGGATACAATATAGATATTGTAATATATATTTCTTAATATCGTTCAATTTAAAAATTAATCACAAATATGTTACATATGTAATTTCAGTTCCACCAAGAAAGATGGAACATACCTTCCGCAAGACCATGCCCTAGAAATAGTGCTAAATAAAACATTTTAACGATTAGGGGCCATCAAAAATTAATTCTTTCACCAACGGTGAGCGCTCTCCTCCTCCCCACTCCTCCCCTCCTTAAATTACCCCTGAAATGAGCAGCCATTAAAGAACTTTTTATACAAGGAGCCGGAAGTGGAAGTGGATATCGGAAAGTCATTACTTAGCCACTCCATTCCCTTCATTAACTGTTCCAGCGTCGTTAGAGCGATCCCGGTTCAAACCAAGGGTTAACCCTCGAGATCTCTGCTAATCCAATACCCTCCATGAGATGGCCCACTGTCCAACTACCCTCAAATCTTAGTAAGGTGTTTCAATATTTTTTTTCCGTTTTCTTCAGGGTCGGAGGTGCAGGAGGCAGGCCTCACGTGTTTCCGTACTCCAGGGAGTCGACGCCAGACTCTTCTCACCCTCACTACATCGATACCTACAGGGATGTAAACGGTAAGTCTTATCTTGTTGTTAAATGTATTTTATTATTATTATTTTCTTCTTCTTTGCTGGAAAGCTGTAGAATATTCTCCAATTTCGGGAATGAAAACTTCCAGATATACAAACAATTGGTTTATTTGTTGATATACGTGTTAAGTTGACGTTTCGGGAATATTATTCTCATCTTCAAAACTTTATTTATTTTTTATTTATTTATTTATTTTAAAATGACATTTACAACTGTATACAAAAAAATACATCTAGTAAATTTGCACATTGGTATAAAGACATGGAACACATGTTGAGAAACTACCCATTGGTAGCACTCTAATAATATGTCTATATTAGAAGATCACGTGGCCATCTTCTTTTCAGACGCCTCGGAGGGTTATCAGGAATCGAATAGGAAGCAAGGTTAGAGACAAGAGGGTTGGGATGGTTATGAAGTTTATTATGGAAGGACAGATATCTGGATTGGGCCAAATCTGATACATAAGGAACATTAAGGTCATTATGGATAATTTTATTTGTAACAAAGTAAGGAGCATTGAGGATTTTACGAAGGATTTTGGATTGCAAGGACTGTATGCGAGAGGAATTTGAAGGCTTGGTGGAGCCCCATAGCTCAACCCCGTAAGTCCAAATAGGCCTTATTATAGTCATGTAAATCAGTCTTTTATAATTGATTGGAAGGTTAGAGCGTTTGTCTAGTAAGTGTTGAAGTAGTCGGAAACGTCGAGCGGTTTCTTGTCGTTTCAGTCTGGTATGAGGATTCCAAGTTAGACGTTTGTCTTCAAAACTTAAAATCCCATACTTTCATAGCGATTTATGGCTAGAAAAGAGGTTATTAAAATAATGCATGTTACATTACATGTTGAAGTTGTAACAACACACCTTTAACATGCAATGTAACATTCTTTTAATTACATCTTTTCTAGCTATAAATCGCTATGAAAGTATGGGATTATTATAAGTTTTGGTGATGGGAATAATTTTCCCGAATCGTCAACTTAACATCTATATCAACAAATAAATCAATTGTTTGTATATCTGGAAGTTTTCATTCCCGAAATTAGAGAGTATTTTATTATTATTAATATATATATATATATATATATATATATATATATGTATTTTTTTTTTTTTTTTTTTGAAGCTATGAATCAAATGGATTTGCCCGCAGGCTACTCAAGTATGAGTCCCCACGGGTACTTGGGCTCGGCGGGCGAGTACCCCACTAACGGGTACACCGCAGGGTACGGAGGGTACGGCTGCGGCGGCTACCCGGGCAGTGGCTACCCCACTGGGGGCTACACGGCCTGCTACACCATGGCGCCCCCTCAGCACGACTCTAAGCCGCCCCATTCCAAAGAGCAGAGGTAAGTTCGATAAATTACAAAAAAATAATTGTGGTAAGAAACAGATAATGTATAGTTCTATCAGTCACTATCTTCGCCATCATAACTTAATAACTTGGACATTGGAATTCAAAAACTTCTTTTATAAAGTATCATTAAAACATACAATATTTAAGGCAGAATGCACAGGTAACATACAATATTAATCACGATATACTGATAACAGATAATAAAAACAAACTCATTGCCATAACAAAACAATTATTAATAAAGCTAAATATCAATTTTTTTTTATTTGTTTATTTAGCTTCTACCCCTAAGGGTCATTGGCTTAATGTTTCCATTTTATATTCGTTGATAATATTGAATATTCTTTAGATATTTGAACAGTTTTTCTATTTCATTCTCCCCATCTTGCAGAATTGTTTTCATTTCCGTTCCCATTTGAAATTTTTCCTTATATTGGTGTACCTTCTACATTCTAATAGTATATGTTTTACTGTTCTGGGTACTAGGCAATGTGTGCAAGTTGGAGCTTCTAATCCTCGCAGGAGGTTTCCATGGGAAAACTCACAGTGGCCAATTCTTAGTCGACATAGTATCACTTCTTCTCGTCTAGACTTTCTGTTTGATGTGTTCCATTTGATACATGTTGTTTTTATTTCCTGAAGTTTTGCCGAATTTTTTTTAATTTTATTTCTTAAAGACATTTACAACTGTATTAAATAAATACATCTAGTAAATTAGAACATAATGTATATAATGACATGAAAAACACTTGCTGCGTAACTACCCAATGGTAGCACTCTAAATATCAATTTTAAAATCCAATAATAAACAACAGGGTCTTTTAACCGGTAAATGGAAAAATATACGTTCTATTATTTATTTAAGGAGTTAGAAAAAAGGACACTAAAAAGAGTAACGACCATGGTGGATACCATTATAGACGAGGGAATAGCCAGAACCATGTATACCACATTTTTTTCGCTACCGACAATTTTTTCGCTGTGAATTTTCGAAAACATAACTTTTTTTAAAGCTTTCTAAGATTTATTATCATAAAAATAAAGTAAGATATAAGCATTAACAATAATTCGTAGTAGGGTAGTGTAGATTAGTCGCTTGTTTTGTAAGTTGAGAGGAGATCTGTAGTCCAAAAGATGTGACAGTTTTTTTAATCATCTGTGTCAGTACTACCAAGACTTATTGCGACCTATTTGGATATACTTAGCAGAATATTTGGATATACTTTTGGGTTCCGCATAATACCTCCACATGAACAAAATTACAATTATATTTTGTGTTTTTGTTCATATGAAATGATTCTTATGTTAAAGGGAAAAAAAAGTTCCATAAAGATACCAACGGTTTTCATATGACTTTCTTGTTTCTAGTTTTATAATTCGTACATCCGTAGATATTATTGTTAATTGGTAATATTACTAATATTCACCAAATTATTCCAAGATCCTCGGTCCAAAAAAAAAAAAAGGTGTGTACTTACTTTTATGGTAAGCGAGGAGAAGAGGTAAAATGAAGACTGTGGCCGGAGGGGGTTGAGCTAAGGTAGAGGAGATATTGGTAGACCGTTTTGTGTACTCTCATCAATATTGAAAAAGTAATAATGGACAAAGCTAATAAACAGGCGGACCCCTAGCCCTTATGAAATACTTAAGTACCTCCTGCTCCTGGTACTTAGCCATGAATTTTTAACTTCGTTCTTGCATATACGTTCCCTTCCGTTCCATTGCCCTCTCATATCGTCCTCTGTCAACAAATCATCCTCCCCATTTTCTGAAAAATTTTCTTATTGGCCCTGTCCAAACACTCCCTATCGGAGGCGAACTTTGCTAATAGTTGTATTTCCACATTGTACAACAGATTCGACGAGGTAGTCCTTTCTTACTTCAGTGAATTTTTTTCTCGAGTGCCAATATTTGTCAGTACCTTACGGAAATTCAGTGTTTTTTCTCTGAGTAAAATATAATTATTTAGTAACTATTCCAGCCCTATTAGAATTAGATGTATGTAATCCGTAGCGGATCCAGGAAGTAACTTTTGTTTTAGTAATTTACTAACGGAAATTACAGGAGCAATAATAATTTTATATATAAAGGTTTTATATTTTTTCATAGAACATGCCTACATTTAGGAGCTGAAGTACATGCGTTATAATTAAAAAATAGATCACGTGATTGTTTAAGTATTAGTTACAGATCACTCATATAAATAAATATGGACCATGAAAAAAAAAAATCTATTTCATGGAGTAATGTTCCAATATGAATGCCCACCTTCCTTGAATCAACCAGTGTTTGTAATTTGTATGAAAATAATTTATTATGCATTTGAAAAAATTGAAGAAGAATGAAGAAAATTCAAATTGACATTGACAGCAAAATTATGTTTTGAAAAAGTCTGTTATTTTCGTTTGCATTTGAAATATTTATTTACCAAACATTTTTAAATGCAAAATCTCTTAATTTTGGTTTATTATTTTCAATTATCAATCTTTGTAATCTAAAGAGAAGAATAAAAAAGTTAAATCAGCTAAAAATTTGAGCTTTTACATTTCAAGATACGCAGAATCCGAAACACGAATAAAAACAAATCCGCAGTCCGCGGCTTTTCTCTGTAACTAATAGACTTATTGTTTGAGGTTTGGTATTTATATCTAAAGTTAGCCGAAGATAATCATCGGATTTGGTATTACAGCCTTTAAAGATGGAGGCTAAAAAACGTGAGTTGTTATGTACTATAAACGGCTCTAATGATTTTAATGCAACTTGGATAAAGTTTTCTTCTTGAAGCCCTATAAATTTATGCAGATAACAAACAACCGAAAAGAACCTGGGAAAAAAGTTACGAGGAGTGGTAAAATTTCCCAATATTTCAAAAAGTATGCACTTTTTTTGATATTTTTATAATTAGGTTTTTTAAAGGTACTTAAATTTCCTAATACAAATTTCTTAAAAATTAAGAAAGATTCACTGTAATCAGAGCACTATTATTGAAGATATCGCAGTTTTTAAATATGTTTGGTTTATTATTTTCAATGATTTTTATTAAGATTTCTATAGAATTCGAGAGGCGTCCTTTTCTAAATTGTCGTTATTATTAATTTATAACTGTAATAAGAGGAACAATGATGCTTCTAGGGACATTTTTTATATTTTTCCTTGAGACATACTTACAATAAGAAGTACATGTATTATAATTTAAAAAGAAAATATATTGTATTATTCAGCTCAGATCACTCATATAAACAAAAATGGACTAACCATAAAAAATAAATTTAAAAACACCTGTCATGGTAGTGACAATTAGCAGATTTGTTGTCATGTTAGGCATGATGAAGAATAGTACCCAGTAGCACCTCTTCTCTGGTCTGTTTGCATCCCCATCCACCTTATGTTATGGAGACAATAATTGCTTAATTCATGATCATTTCTGTTAATTCCAAAAATGTCCCGTCAGTTGTAGTTTAATGTTTTTAATGTTTAATACCAAGTTTAGCTCCTAGCCCAGTAACTGAATATATTATTTTTTTTTTTTTAATAATAATAAATTCAATTATAAATTTGTGTTTTTTTTTTCTTTTTGGTGAGGGTTCTTAAGAAATATGTTACTTTTTTTGAAATTTTCTTATATTTGTGGTGTTCTCCATTCACTAAAATTTTAGCTGTATTTTCTAATGGTTGTAAGAATGTTAAGATGATTAGTTTCTTATTAGTAATGTATTGTCATTATTTATATTTTATCTTCAATTTAATAACTCAACTGGATATTTTGATTTAGAAACTTAATATTTAAATTACTTAGGTTTAAAATTTATGATTGAATTATTATTGACATTTTAGCCTCAGCTGCGGGAGGTCAGAGAGGTCTGGGTTGCAGTCACACTCGCAAGAGCTGAAGTGCCCGACGCCTGGCTGTGATGGATCAGGTCATGTGACAGGCAACTACTCTTCCCACAGAAGCCTATCAGGATGTCCGCGAGCAAACAAGCCAAAAAGCAAACCAAGGGATGGACAAGACTCTGAACCATTAAGGTTAGTCCATTATAATCTCACATTATAATATCATAAAGATATACTTCCCTTTTAGAATGTTTCATTTTGTAAAATTCACAATCAATTATATTTAAAAAACAAAAAATATAACAGACATTTATTGATTGGAAAGACATTTATTGCATAGATTGAGTGAGCTCTCAATAAAAGTTTTTTTTTTTTTAATAACACAGGTCAATTTCAATCAATTTTTTCCTGGTGATTCTATATTAAAAACAAATCAGAATGTCATTGTCCATTTCGTACAATGGGTCTTTGTAGATAGAAAAAATAATAATAAAATACACTGGAAATATTTCATTTGATATCTCTTTGGTGGGAGAAATTTTTAATTACAAAAAATGTATTATTTTTAATTGTAAATAGCACACGTTAACAATTTTTCTAAAAATTATTACTTAATAATTTCAATATTTGAAATAATTATTGATTTAGTGTTCAATTGTATTTAATTTTTAAAAAATAATAAAGTTATACCATTAAAACTCTATTTATTAATCTTCTTAGTTTCAACTGTTTTTAAGACTCTTTAAGTTGCTATTCCAAAAATATTTTGTACTTATGAAATTTAATTTTTCAAATAATGTCTTATTCAAAATATTTTTTAAAAATTAAAAGAAAGAAAAAGTATTACCTTTAAATTTCGAATTATGTGCATGCATACTACTTGCACATAATTGTTTTATGCTTTAATGAAATATTTATGTTCACATTTACTAGTAAAAAAATAAATAATGAAATACATAATTTTTAAAATTGAATGTCATGTATTCAATTTAATTATTTTGTAAATTAAAAATCATTTCCTTCAACCAAATATTCTTTATGCCATTAATCAATATTTCAATTTCAAAGGTACCAAATATTTAATAATATAGTTAGAATTGCCAACTGACAAGTCTAAACCACTTCGTAGATGCCCATCTCATACATGATTTGCCGCAGTTATTTGAAATAAACTTAATTAATTGAATAGTATAAAAAAAAAAAGTTAATTATTTGACTAATCAGTTTAGTATTGTTGTTGGCTTTAAATAAATTAGGCTATATATAATAATATACTAATAAAGTAGATAGACCTTGATATTGTCTGATGTCATTAGCTGTGCTGAAGAAGAGAGATGGGTTTCTTCTCGGGCGAAGTATGATTTCTTAAACAAATGAAGTTTTACCTATTTATGATTGTTTCTTAACAATTTTTATTTTTATTTTTGCTCACAGGTGTCCAATACCTGGATGCGATGGTTCAGGGCATGCTACGGGAAAATTTCTTTCTCATAGGAGGTAAGATAGATAATAGCATTTATGTAGTAATAAAATTAAGAAAGTGAATATATTATTGTCTTTTTACTTAAAAGGCACATTTAACAATACTTATCGGCTTATTATCTACAGATTTGAGTCATGTGATCTAGACTAAAAAGTCATAGACTTCAATATTTTGTTTTATTTATTTCATATTTCAATGCAGAAGATAATTAAATATTTTGCTTTTATAACATACAAGTTTAACAGAATTAAGATTTAGACTAAGAAAAGAATATTAAAACTAGAAAAACAAAAACAAGAGAAAAATATAAACATGTTTGGTTCATACGAAATAAAATGATTAATAATAACCATATATTTCCTAAAATAAATTGGTTTCAAATCATTAATAGAAGTAATAAGAGATGAGTTTAATGATTATATTAAAGTAAAACCCATAAGTTTAATTAGCCAAATAAGATTATATGAAAAAAAAAAATTAATTTACTACATAGTCCTCTATTTTTAGCCTGTATTATATATCTACTATATATAGTAGATAAATATTTTGTATGCTTATTGGCAAATTATAATTTATCTATATCAGTCAATAAATAGTTTAAGTTACATACCACCATATCTTATATAAAAGCATTGTTGTTTACATTATAAAGAGCCCTAAAAATTTGTTCCTAGAACTAATTTGGAATGGTCTATCCACAGCCCTCCTCAAACATATGAACAGTATGAAAATGATGAAACCATGATGTTTGAAATACTGGTCATACAAAAAATAAAACAACTAAATTTTTAGTTAAAAATTTTTCAGATTTTAATTTGTAAATAATGACTAGTGCAATAAGCCATAAAAACTGGAAATATTTATAAAAAATGTATAAATATTTTTGTTGCAGTGCATCTGGTTGTCCAATCGCTAACAGAAATAAGATGAGAGTCCTTGAGTCCGGTGGTACCGTGGAACAGCACAAAGCTGCCATTGCAGCTGTAACTGCTGCTGCCAAGTTCGACCCTCTATCATGCCCAGTCTCCTGCCCAGAGGCCTTCTTACCTCGTCCTCTCCCTCCGCCTCCTCCTCCACCAGCCAAGAAACCTCAAGCCCAAATGAAGTATACAGATGACATCAGTGGAGGACCAGTTTATAACAAACATCAAACAAGTAAGTGAAAAAATTATTTAAAAAAAAAATGCAAATATTTATTTATCTAAGGATATTATTTTACTGTAGTTTATAATTTCAAGGACTAACATTGCTACTTGAAGGGTATATGTTATTCCTTGAAATCAGATCTTATAATATATACTTATGTATATATTCTTTCTATTTAAATAAAGCATTTTTTAACTTTTGTTCAGTATAGAACTTCAACAGAAGTCTTGGGCCAACTTCTGTTGAAGTTCATTTTGTCATTAAATATGCTCTATTATCATATATCAAGAAATACAGGAGTCAAAATTAATTTATAAGCCCAAGTTATTTAATATAAAGTAGACATGATAAATTCAGAAGAAATTTTATTTCTGTTTGTTTATATCATCTCAGTATATTTAAACAATAAGAGTGTATATTATTTAAATCAAATTTTAAAAAATGCTTTATAATTTTTCATTTAATTTGATTGTTTTAAAATTAAATATTGAAAAATATTATTTTAAAAAAATAACTATATGAAGCTAAGAGAATGAAAAAAATTAATGTGGGCTTTCATAATAAATAACATAATTACCTCATTTACCTAATAAGCTAATTCTCATCTTTCAAAAAAAAAAAAAAAAATGTGAAATGTATGTAAATGTTGTGAAAATTTGTATATCTTTTTATATACTACATCTTTTTATACAGCAAATAATAATAATACAATATATTTCACATCAATAATGAAAGAAATTTTTTCATAAATCTCGTGACATTTTCGTTTGAATTATGGCTTTAAATAAGCATTAATGATTAATGGTTTAAAGTTTCTTCTTAAAACTGTTTATAAATTTTTAAGGGAACATAGTGAATTCATAATTAAAAAGCTAAAGTGAATAATAATTAAACTCTAAAATATTGTAGTATTAAAATGTGTTGTCTGAAAATGAACCATTTTTCAAGAATGGCCATTTAAGATCAAATTGAAACTTAAATGAATGATTGGGTTTTTAAGGTTGTATATTATGGTCTATTATTATTGGGTATTGTCTAACTATTGTCTCTCTCATTAAAAAGAAAAGTATAAAAAGAAAAAAAGGACTGTCAAATTCATGAATTTCATTATCCTTTTGGAGTATTTTTATAAGATGTAGAGACCATGGTTAGACAGCAAAGGTGGCTCCCTTGGAATGGGTAGGCAATGGGAAGCCCCGTGACTGACTATCACGGAAATGTACAGACGGGGCCGGTGGTAATTCTGAGGACCTGTTCACTCTAGAGGCTGAGATCTCAGAGTTACAGCGAGAGAACGCCAGAGTCGAGAGTCAAATGCTTCGCCTCAAGACTGACATCACTGCGATGGAAGCACACCTCCGGCATGGACCTCAGTCTGCTGACAAGGTAAACAAAGTTAGTGTTTTTTTTTCATCTTCTTGTTTCCATTTGTTTTAATTTTGTGAATATATGTTGTTAATGGTATGTCTACTATACTTTTTTTATAAAATACTGCTTTATAGCAGAAACCAAACAGCAAACTTATTTATTGGAGGCAGGTCCAGAAATTGTCTTTCAGGGAAGATGGGCAAAAATAAATAAATATAATTTAAAAATGTAAGGCTCTATTATACTACAATAAACGAAGATCGGGTTCCTACTGATTTACTTGTACAAACCACAATAAATTATATAAAATGATATTTAATTTAGTAACATTATGAAATTGTATATCTGGGTCATTTGGGATTCTTTTGAGTTTCCATGTAACGAGAATGAGTTTTGAAATATAAAATATTTATTATATTATTTTTAATTATACAACAAATCTTTTTTATTTAGAATAAAAATGTAAACAAAAAAATATAAAATTTTTGCAAAAATAAAAAAAAAAATGTTAAGAGGAGTAGAGAGGGATGTGAATTCTCCTCTGGATCTGCCTTTGTCATTAAACTGTGTAATAATTAGTTGATACTCATAAATCTACTTAGTTCTTTATTAAATTCATTTATTTTTGTCGACAAAAGATTTTATTTTTATTTTTAAGAAGGATAAGGATATCAAGATAAAAACTTTTTAAATACTTTTACGTTAAACATTATCAAAACATATTAAAAATAATTAATAAGATCAAATCAAAAACCATCAATTGTAGTTTTTATATTTTATTCATAGTTTCAAATAAAATACCTCACCGTTTTATTTATTTGATATTGATTATAAAGCTTGCCTCTCTAAACTTCAAAAATTGTTGGTAATATAAAATTTGTTTAAATGGGACTAATTTGAATGAAGGTGGACTTATTTTCTAACTTCATGATATCCAACTATTGTTCTTTATTCAGTTGTTAATTTTCATTTAAAAATAGTTGAAATATAAAATAGCACTTAATAACAAATTATAAATAAAATACATACTGTAATTAATGCATAAGTGTTACTTTTTTTGTCTGATGAAATATTAACATTTTATGATGTAATTGCTTTAAAAAAGGTTGTTTTCCTCTATAACTAACAATTTTGAAACACTGCTAATAATCTATTAAATGAAGTTTATGAATAAGTATAAATTAAGCTTTTTTCTGATCCTAAAATCGGATAATTATGTGTGATTATCTTGCGTTAAATTTGGGTTTGTATGGCATTACTTGAATTTAAGTTGATTGTTGATACTTATTCATGAATTACAAATAAACCACTATATATTTATACATATAAATTTATAATTCACTATCTACAAATAAAGAATAAGTATTAAACTATTCATAATGTAAATAAGGCTTTATCTTTATAATTCAATTATTAATTTTTATAGATGCTAATGACACATATTTCGATTAATTAATTAATTCTTGTAGAACTGATTCTTGTTTTATAATTACTACTACCAACACTAATAATTTATAATAAAAGATAAAATAATAAAGAATAAAATGGTCAAAAACATTTTCATAATTATTTGGATTTAAAAGTGATATATCTATGATAAAATCATTTTATCTTGTTTTTATGTTATTTTATGTATATTGATATTTGAGTAACTAAAGAGACTCTATTGTGTGCCTAGTGGCTTGAAGAAGGCTGGGCGCGTCCACTGCCTGCTACACAGCTCTCTATCGCTTGTTGGAGGCTCTAGCTGCACCTAGCCCACTAGACACACGTGAGTCTCTTTTATTATTTTAATAGTAACTTCAAAGAGAGGCAAGTTTTTATATTCTTGTCGAAAAACAAAATAAATTAAAAATCGTGCCCTTTAATAGTGATTATTTTTTTATGGCTGATACTAAAGCTAAATTCTGTTATACAATCTATAGGCAATCATTTTTTACTTAAATCTGTAGGCTCTTAACAAATTTTAAATTTAAACAGGAATAACAAAGAGTCTATTATAATTTTGCAGTATGATTACAGGAGAGCACTGGCGGTGGGCTCAACTGTCCTCAACCACAGCGGCAGCTGCTTGGCTCTGCAGCAGGTACCAATAACAATACCAGCAGCAACAACCTCAATGACTATTATGAGTCCTTGAGGAATAACGTCATCACGCTGTTAGAGCATGTGAGGATTCCAGGAGGAGGGGGAGGCGGGGGAGTCATGCCCCAGGACGGTGAGTCAGGCCTGGATTCCTATCTAAGCAAGCTACAGACACTGTGCGGCAGCCAGGGCCAACCAGATGAGGAACCGAACCGGCCAATTTACGAGACAGTCAAGTTCGCCCTCCAGGACTTTACCGTCCTTTCGACCCCAATTTAGGCTTCCCATGTTCCTTCCCCTACATGTAAATAATTGTCCTCCAAATCCTCCTGTGTATGTATATATGTCTACTATGTAAATACAGCAGAGTCGGCTATGATGGCTGATTATTTAATGTAAATTATATTATTTAAAGTTACTAAACATGGTAAATTTTGCCAATGAGTTGTAATTGATTTTCCAAAATATATTACCACACACCAAAGTAATTGGAGGATGAAAAAAAAATTATCTTTTTCTAAATTTTGATATACTTTAACAGAAAAAATAAAATAAACCATTGAGAAACACTATTATTTTATTTGTTGTAAGCTCAATATATTATTTAGACTAATTAATAATCAACAGCTCGGAGTCTTTCAAAGACTAATTACTTTTATTGTAAATATTATACAAACTGATAATTACTATTTTGTTAATAATTTTTTTGTATTGTTTATCCAAAGCAAAATGTTGTAAAAATTTTTATGTATACGAAAAATGATCTCATTCTACAGGTCTTTGTATGTCGACTCTTGCACATTTTTTCAGATAGTACCTATGTTGTATGTAAATCTGTTTGTACATAAATTATTAGATCAGTTACGACAATTTGTATAACCCCGAAAATATATCAATGAAATGAATGGGCAACGAAGATAAGTGAAAAAGCTCAATACCAAATGTGCAAAATCTTTTTTCCACCTTATCAACGAAAACAAGAGGAAGAAGAAAAAATAATAGTTTTTTTATATTGAAAGAATTGTTTTAGATGTTTTCTATATGTTGTAAATAAAGATGTGTCCGTTTTGGCCTAGGTTTAGAGAAAAAAAGGTGAGCAAAAGCTCTCAACACTAGCCCTATGTTAAATATAAAATATTTATAATATTTAAATCGAATATTTAAATGAATTTAATTGTATTATGAATGATAAAAGTTACCATATGAAATTTGGGTACCGGCCTCTTAAAGTGGTCATGTAGGAATCGTGCTACATATTATATAAAACTAAACGTGTACCAATGGAGTACATTCATAAAAATAAAAAAAAAGGCGTGAAAGTAGGTGTGTATTGGCATGCCAACAGTCGTCAACTGGTTTCGAGGTTGTATATTTGTACATATATTTTATAAGTACCAGGTAAATATAAATGTTAAAGTTGCGTAATCGGAAGTAATAAGTAAGGCATACAATTTATTATGAAATTATTTGCCATGTATGAAAAATAATCAGGGCCGGAACCATGTATTAGGTGTGAGTATAGTTTAGAAAATGTAAAACCATTTGTTTATTTCTATTATTTTATATTTATAAAATTGTAAAAGTGGATCCGTTAACTGTTATTTATCCTAGCATGTTTTAAGGTTATAATCACCCAAACTGTGCTCAAAAATATTGATTTCATAAAAGCCCTTTATGTAAAATTCATTTTCTATTAGAAGAATCTATGTAGTATTAACTGAGTTCAACATAGAATTTTGTTCTAATGAATTAGAACAGGGGTCTCAAAATTAAGGTCTGAGGGTATCACCAATGCGATCCATAATAGTTTATTTTGACTACATCAAGATTCTTACAATGTAAGTAAATTTAAAAAAATAATAATCGAATGTTTTTATCTAAATACCAATTAAGAAACACAATAATTGACTTCCATAATTAGGATTATAACTATAATTAGTGAAATGACAATGTTTGTACAATGAGCTATTATGTTTATTTTTATTCTGTATTTATAATTTGTTCTAAAGAGACACTAGTCCCAGAATAATAAAGGTATTTTCATTTCATTTTATTTCAATGAGCTAGTTAAGTCTTGGCCTTCGGAATGAAGTAGATTTAGGGTCGTCCACAGGCTAAAAATTTTAAGAGACCCCTGAATTAGAAGACTGTTTTTATTTCAGGAGCTGTAATAAACCAAAGATAAGTAAAGGTGCTTAGGGCTTGTGCAATTTATGTTTCAGTATTGTTTATCGTTAAGTTTTTTATTACCCTTACATCGTTAATCAGAGGGTAAATGCTAATTATATTCATGTTGGTGATTTTTATTGTATTTAAGGAACTGTTACTTTAACCAATCTTATTTACTGGAACACGAAATAAAGTGTTACGTCGTACTTTTTTTCCAAAAAAAATTTGTCAAACAAAAATAGATCATTTTCTATGATAATGTGTAGATTGACCGAAAATTAAAAAAAAAAATTAATAAATAAGTGAAAAAAACAATTCACTTGACATAATTATCTTTGGATAAAATACTTTAAGAAACAAGTTTGTAACGATTCAATATGTTGATGTATAAAAAGTAATCATTAATAAAAATATTTTAAAAATTCTCTGTGTATTTGAAACCAGAATTATTTATAATCTTATTATTTATTCCCACCTGAAATGATTTTCAACTTGAAGTTGTGTTGAAAAATTATCAAATTAATTACTATAAGATGTACCTGCAGTAAACATGTTTGCGTGTGTAAAATTTAATTTCAATCTCCTCTGTTTCCTATACTTCTATTATAATCTATGAAGCTCGAACCAGCTAACTTCTAGGTGGTAACTGATTATGTTAATCATATATATGATAAGCCAAGAGATGCATGGCTAATATTACGTCAATATCAGTTTTATAACCATCACAATGCCATAATCAAGTATGGCAATTTGAGTCTTACAAAAGAAATTTTATGGAATAAAAAAATTTTTGTCTGTTTAAACATTTTATGGAATAAAAATTTTTTTGTCTATTTAAACATTGCCAGGATTACACCGTCACCAATAAAACTAACAAAATTATTTATGTATGGCAATTTCACCAAGTCTTTACCACTTGGTCAATCACAATGTACTCTTTTCACCATCAGCATAGCCTAGGAAGGGGCACCTGCCCAGTGTGTCACTTTAAAAGTTGTGGCTAATTCTGAAGAGATCAGACTCACAGAAAAAATTGAAAAATAAAATTATAGATTTTTAAAAAAATTCTGTTTTTATTTGTTCGCCTTTCACATGTGGAAAACAAAGCCTGGTTGTAGTTCTTTGGCCAATGTAAATATTGTATATAGATAAGTATGAATGAATTTTAGATGAGTTTTATTTATTTTTTATTTATCTTTAGTTTACTTTTGTTTTCAACCGACATCACTGATCTTGTTGAGTTTTATTTGTGAATTTCATATATTATGCTTTCTTTATTACTTATTTAATATTTTTATTTTATATATTGGTCCATTTTTTCTTTTTTACTTTCACTTACTTATATATGAAATATATAGTATAGAAAAGTATTGCGGATTGATCGTGAAAATTTTCGAATCTGAGTTTTCAGCGGAAATACATGTTTTGAGGTCCTCTGAGTCCAAAATAACCAAGTCCCACAAAACGGTCCCTGTGTGTGTTTACAGTCTAACTCAAAAACTTAAAGTTGTATGAAAGTTTAATTGCATATTTAAGGTATCTGTATGATTGGAATGTTACAGCAACTTTTATGTCAAAATCGGCTAAACGGGAAGTGGCACTTTATATCATGGACTGAACACATTTTTACGATTTTCTCGACAACAATTTTGATTTGATTCATTATATCATTGTAAATTTAAGCAGTTTTTTTATAAGATATAGGTTTTATTCTGATTGGATGTTGTCTAACAGAGCTTAAATGGCTAATTTTCAATATTAGCTTCCCCTAAAGTATCTTCAATTTCTTTTATTTGCAATAATTGACCATTTCACATTGATCTCTAATATAAAAGATAGTTAAATATAAAATATGAAAGAATTTGATAATTAAATAAAGGATAAATAAGAGATCATAAAGGAGAATAGTTGTAATTGAGGAACCAAAGGAAAGCGCAACCGAAAGATTAGAACACACTTCCATACTTAAAATAAACTTAATATAATACCAACTCCGACAATATTATATAAATAAGGGGCAGGATGGTCGAACAGGCTACAGCACTGCACGTTGCCTGGCAACCTGATAATCAAAGTTGGAGACAATAAAATTATGACTGCCAGAATCAAAGTAGTAATTTAGAGAGTATTAAAGGAAACGTTGATAATGCAATAATAATCATTTAAAGTTGATAATATTACCTCCTTGCACAGCTGTTGATCAAGAAACATTAACATTAAAATGACTGTGTTTTTTGTGCATAAATACTCAAAAATTGTACAGTTAATTTCACCAATTTTATACCAGTACACCAGTACAGCTTTCAACCAATTTTAATAATTTAAAAAGCTAAAAATGAAAATAATTAATTTGATTTAGCATCATTTTTATACGTATAATACGTATCGAATTTTTAACTTCTTTAGCTGCAATAGGTTGGAATTTGTTGAGGTTTAAGGTTTGCAACAGAGTTCCTTGTTCATTATAAATAGTAAAACAATATTGAAGATATATATAAATAAAATTTGCTTTTCATAATAACTTTTTTCTTAGCTTTTTCTCGATGATGAATGAAAATGATTTTTCAAGAGAAGACTTTTAAGTAAGTCTCATCAAAATTGTTAGTGCCAATTTGGAACAAGTGTCAATAGAAAAAATATCTGGGCTATTGTGCACAGTGTGCCCAATTTGTTACATTAATATTGGGGCTGAAACCCAACAAAAAAAAAAAAAAACAGCAACAATAATGGTCCACCATTTTGATTGAAAATCATAGCACAGACATTACGTTTGTGGAGTAGTTGAAGAAACCTGTAACTGATGACAAGAAGGCTCTGGTGACTGCCTGACTCTACCACTACATTACAGACTATGATTGGTGAGAATCATTAAGATAACATCTAAGTGGGCTGAGAGAATCCAAGAGCATAAAGTCTCCTCCATTGAATAGGACTTTACTAGAAAATCAAAAGGGTCAGATTGCATACGCCTATACTTCGGAGTGCGGTACTGGAAGAGAGTCGTACTCAACCGAACCCAACCTCACCTCACCCTCCAGACAGGACAACTTGATGCAAGCACCAACCGGAGCTCATGAAGTGGACAAACTCTACTATAGAGCTTTCTACCGCTCATCAGAACACTGAAACCAGATAGGACGGACTAAAGCCACGACCAGCATGACACTGAACCAAAGGCTCAAGTCCATAACTGTCCCCAGAACCAAAATGGTCAGAGCGAGTACGCCTATACTGTGGAGTGCGGCACCAGCAGGGGTCATACCCAACCTGAAGGTCTTAACCGACCCACAACCTAGCCTCACCTTCCGGACAGGACACAAGGATGTAAGCACACAACCGGCGCTCACAGAGCAGACATATCCTACTATACAGAGCTTTCCACCATTTTTCAGCACACTGATACCAGATAGCTAGCCGTATCTTTGTCACAACCAGCTGAACACTGGTGTCGTACAG